ATGCCAGGGAGGTGACTCCCTGGGAGTGTCTCAGTTGGAGATCATGCTTCTTCATACATATAAGAATGACAGAGAACTTAGTATTTTAACAGTTACAAGGAGAGCATGTCACTGTAGTTGGGAGACAAGATTAGGTCAGAGTGACTCCTTGTAGTTTTCGATTGACAGCCTGACCTGAAACATCAGCAACTTCAGAGAATCTCAGCGGTCATTAAAGGGACAGCCAGCATCCCCTTAGGAGCAGACGGGCTTTCCCCCAGACTTCCCAGCTAGCAACTGACAGCATCAGAAGACAAGAAACAGCATCCATGGAGTTCTGAAGGAGAGAACCATGCTTAGGGAAGAAAAGGGCTTATTTCAGTCCTAAATGTTTTCCATAATTTCTCTACCTCTAAGGTATTCTCATACCTAGATACATGCATATGGTACACCCACACACACATACACACTCATGCCAGCACACACATACACACAAAAGCAACGAAATAGTATGTTGTGAGGGAGGAAAATCTGATAATTAAGAGCTACAGCTGCTGGAGAGGAAATGGAGCTGCAAAGGGGGTTTGCCTCAAGATAGGGGTCACATATGGATGATCACAGGGACAGGAAGAGCTTTTTTAAGTCACCCATGTCCAAGAGGCACCCCAAACCAATTAGATCAGATTCTGTGGGATAGTGCCTGAATGGCGGTAGCTTGCAAAAGTTCACCCCATGACCCCGGATGCAAGAGTTGCTGGCAAAATGCTACTCATCGAAAAGGTGGTCCATCCAGTGACTCTAAGTGCAGGCCATGCTAGTGCAAGGCTACTGACATGGTCCATGATCGGCACCCTTAGCATCACCCGGTAGCTTTTCAGCATCACAGACTCTCCATCCCGACTGCTACATGAATGTGTAGTGCAAGAAGTTCTCTGGAGCCGGGCGTGGTTGTGCAGCCCTGCAATCGAAGCACGCAGGGAGGCAGAGGCAGGCGGATCTCTGTGAGTTCAAGGCCAGCCTGGATTACAGAGCTAGTTTCAGGACAGTCAGGGATACACAAAGAAACCCTGTCTCAAAAAGAGAGAGAGAGAGAGAGAGAGAGAAAAGAAAAAGAAAAAAAAAGAAATAAAGGCCTATATTAAGAGGTAACTCTAAAGATAGAGCCAGATGTAGATCTAATTTAAATAGGCAACGATAGTTATGATAATTTTAGTTAATACTTGAATCTAAACAATTCATGAGTTTCATGAATTATTATTATTTCATGAGTTATTATTATCTCAAGAAGAATTAAATTGAGTAACATAACTTTATTTAAGTGCAGCATACATAGAATTTTTTTTATTTTCACTTATTTGTACTGATGCAGATGTTTACCTGATTTTATTTATGACTGGTGAGATGAGGCAGTCTTCTGATCTCCTGTTTGTACTTTTTCTGTGCTTCTGAAACACTCTAAAATGCATTATTTTTCTAAAAGAACTGGTGATTATAAGTACTAGTGGCTAAAGTACTTTAGAAAGAAAGGATTTCTTAGAAAGAAAATCCTGGGACTAGGAATGAAGTTCAGTGGTAGAACATCCGCCTCACATGAGCTGAAGCAAGGCCCAGGACTTGGTTTCTAGCTCTGGGAGGGTGGTGGGATGGACCTGCATTTCAAGAATTTAACTACAGGGCTGGAATCTGTGTGTCCATTCACACTGACTAAATTCAGAAAGATGGTAAAACAAGGCAAACACACTATTTTCCAGGCATTGTGGCACATGCCTTTACTTCCAATACTCAGGAGACAGAGGCAGGCAGATCACTGTGAATTCAAGTCCAGGTTGCTCTACGTAATGAGTTCCAGGCCTACACAGTAGGGCTACATAGTAAAAACCCTGTCTAAGAAAGAAAGGAAGAAATGGAGGGAGGGAGAGAATAAATTCAGTTAGCATAGCCATTCTAAATCCAAGATATTTTATCTAGAGAAAGTAGTGTTTTTCAGAGGACATGTTTTTGAGAAATCTGAATTACATACAAGGAAGCTGCTTGACTTTGAAAGGATTAGAGAGAAGAAATAATTAGGAAAAAAATAATAATTTGGAATCATCGACTAGGAATTTGTCCTCTGATGGAGTAACTCTTTTGTGTAAAGGACTTTTTCTTGGGCTGAAGAGCACAAACTGCTCTGTCAGATGACCAGAGACCCGTATCAGGTGACTTACAGTTGTAAGTCCAGCTCCAGAGGGTCCTCCATGGCCACTGACCTCATATAAGCAAAAACCCCAAACTCCGCGCGCGCGCGCACACACACACACACACACATACACACACACACACACACACACACACACTTAAAACACTTTTTCTTTTTCTTTTTTTTAATTTTAAATTGGTTTTTATTACGGAGATAAACGATACACTAACTTTCTACATTTGAAGGTGTTTCCTATTAACCCGATGATATGCTAGATTACGTGTTGTTTTGTTTACTATTTGAGGTACTGGTGATTTGCTGTTGGCCAACTACACTGAAAGTGAACTTTTCCTCCAGTATAATAAAACCAAAGAGTGCTGCCACGATGTGTCTCCAGGTAGGCACGTCTGAACTCTGTGCCGGTTAAGTGAGGATGAATGGTTCTGCTTTCGAACTACAGACTCTCTGCATGCTTGGATGGGAATGGTCACCAGACAGTGAAATAGTTGAATGCTGGTCATTAGGGAGTGGAACTACTTGAGAGAGATGATGATGTGTGGCCTTGTTGGAGGAAGTGTCTCACTGTGGGGTGGGCTTTGGGGTTTCAGAAGCTCAAGCCAGAGAGATGGTATAGCGGCTGTCTTTCTCTTTTTCTGTTGCCAATGGCTACCTCAGCTACCTCTCTAGCACTGTCGGCCTGCACACTCCCATGCTTAACACCGTGACCATAACGGATTAAACCTCTGAAAATGTAAGCAAGGCCCAGTTAAGTGCTTTCTTCCATATCATTGCCATGGCTGTGGTGCCCCTTCACAGAAAAGGACACTAAGGCTGGAAGGTTGCATGAAATTTAGATTCTCGTTTCTTATGAAAAGCTGGGCTATCTGGCAGCTGTGGCACAAGAACTGAAAGTAAGCGTCTAGGCCCTTTCAAATGAATTTACTAGCGCCTCTACCTGACGGGACCGCACAACTTGAGAGTGACTTGAGGACTGTGGGCACGTGAGTTGATGATGCCTGCTCATAGTGCCGATGTGTGCCATCCACGACTGCAGAGTACACCTTCGCTGATGCTTTCCCACTTCTCTAGAAAGACCTCTCTTCCACATTGCCCATTTTTCTTTCCTTTTTTAAATTAATTAATTCTATTTACATCTCAGTCACAGAGCTCTCCCTCCTCTCCTCCCAGTCCCACCCTTCCTCCCTCATCCCCCTCCTCTATTCCTCAGAATAGGGAGCCCCCCTACCCAGACACCCCAGCTCATCTGTTCACATGAAGACTGAGTTCGTCTTCCTCTCCTGTGGCCTGGGAGGGAAGTCCCATTGGGGGAAGTGATCAAAAAGCAGGCAGCAGAGTCCATGTCACAATATCCCCCACTCCTCCCACTAATGGGCCCACATGAGGCCTAAGATCCCCATCGGACTTACCTTGTTGGGGTCTGTGCATTGTAGTTTGTCTATCCTGTGCTATATGACTGAGATCTGCTTATACGTGAGTATATACCATGTGTGTCTTTCTGGGTCTGTGTTACCTCACGCAGGATGATCTTTTCTAGTTCCATCCATTTTTCTTCAAGGCTCATTTCAAACACTACATCTTCCACAAGGCTCTCTCCAGCTGAGGGTTACTTATTGCCCGATTTCAAAACTCCGAGGAGACTCCATGATCCTCACTCTCCTGAACCAACTGTCGGTATCCTAGAGTGTTTCGTTGGAAAATCTTCCAATATATCAACACTAGCAACTAACTGGAAGCCAGCTACTGGATGGGCTGCAAAAAACTAGAAGTTCAAACTGGAGCTGGCTTCGATGTGGGTTAAATCTTTTTCACCCTCCTTCCCCCTCATAGGTCTGTCTATCTACACCATGGGGAGGCTGTTCTGCCTGGCAGTAAAGGTCTGGGGTGACCAAGGTAGGGGGTACTACTGTGTTCACTTGTGCCATTCTAAAGCTCAGTATCGGAAGGTCCACTGTTGTCTCACCGGCAAAGGCTGGATTACCCACCCAGGCTTCATCAGCAAACTAATCCAACGTTTCCTCTTTATCTGGCTGAATATTTATTTCACAGTGGTCTCCAAACATAAAAAAAAAAAAAAAAAAAAAAAAAACCTTTCATTGACCTTTTCTTCTTTAAATAAAAGGTTTCATTTTGCTTTTTAATTTTGCATGGGTGTGTGGCACAGCTATGGCAGAGCCCATGGAGGGAGCCAAATCCCCTGGACTTGGAGATATGGGTGTTTTGTAAGCAACCTGGTGTGAGTGCTGAACATGGGTCATTGGGAAGGGAAGCAGCTGAGCCATCTCTCCAACCCTGCTGGTCCCTTCTAACGCCAACAAGCACTCATTTCCCTTCAGTTGGTTTTGTTTGGTTGTTTTGTTTTGAGACAGGGCCTCACTAACAGTTTAGACTCCAAAATCCTTTTGCTTTAGCCTCCTGAATGATGAGATTGAAGATGTATGACACCATTTCTGGATTCTTCTTGAACCTTCTGCAACAACTAGCAAACTCTATTGAAAAGATAAGCCCTCAAAAGCATTTATCAAATAAATGGGCATAAAATTTATGGAATGTGATTTCTATCATGCATATGTTATTTTAATTCAAATGTTTCTGGGGGGGGGGCATTGCTCAGTAGATCTAGAACTCACCTATCACACATAAAGATTTGGGGTCAATCCCCAATACCATTTTTATTTAAAAAGTAAAATCATCTGTTTTAATAATAAAATATTCATTTCAAGACAAAAAGTAAAGTCAAAATAAAATAAAAAAAATTAAATGCCATGTTAACAAAAATGTAGATTTTACATACATAATATAAAATATTTATTTGCTATTTACATTTCCGTTTGTATGTATATCATATCACATATCAAAAATAATGAAAAAAAAAAAAAGAAAAAGAAACATGACAAGTGTGAAGTACAAACCCAGGGAAGAAAGCGTCGCATGGCTGGGGGTTATTAGCAGTCTCGGAGATCCCGCTTCTTGCCTCTTGTTGATTTCTTGCATGTTTCCTGCCGAATAGTGTCATACTCCAGGATGGCCAGTTTGGAAAGTCTCTGTAAGAACTGAGAGGGCGCCCCTGTGAAAGGGTCGCTGAAGACATAACCTGTGAGGAACACAGAAACCAGCTGTTACAGCTCGACTCAGAAGGCATGGGTGACGTTTGACAGATCTGCCCACAAAACACTGCCAAGTCTTCGCCCACATACCTTCAACTTCCAGAAAGGCCAATGCCTGCCTTGACATAATGCACCCCCCCACACACACACACACACACTGTAGATACCAGAGTGACTAGAAAATTCTCTGCAGTCTTGTAGATATCATTAAGTTACCTGACTCAGAAGAGTTTTTAGTGTCTACTCTCAAAATTCAAAATTCGTCAAGCGTGAGTAGGGAGTTGGGGATGTCTGATTTTAAAAGCTTCGAGGAACAAACTGTCCCTCCAAATATGGGAGAAATACTCAATGTTGAGAGCCAGTTTGGGGCTCTAAAACGTTTGTAATATAGATAGATTCTATAGTGAAATGTGTTCAGTACACATAATTTATTTATTTTTTTTTTTGAAAAAAAAATAGGAAGAAGAAGATAAGCATAAGAGGCTGGATCAACGACCCTGAAGTTAAGAGCACCGGCTGCTGTTCCAGAGGTCCCATGTTGATTCCCAGCATCCACACGACCGCTCCCAACCATCTGCAACCCCACTTGCGGGGATCCAACGCTCTCTTCTGGCCTCTGAGTGTACCACACACACACACACACACACACACACACACACACACACACACACAGTGTATAGTACTACAGCACAAACACACATGCAAGCAGAAGCACCATACACATAGTTTAAGGGGAAAAAAAAAAGATAAAACTAGAATGGACCATTTGGGGAAGGTGGTTAGGTGTTCAGTGCTGAGCCCACGTTTCAGTCTGTGGTGATGGGGAGGAGCTTCTTTGAAGAGGGCAACACTGTGATTAGGGGTCGAGGATGCATGTTCGGCTGCCATGTTGAATAACAAGCTATGCTTGGGGCTTGGAAGTGTCATGGCGGCTCTCGGGAGGCCAGGGCAGGGGGATTACCTTGAGTTTGAGGCCAGCCTTGGCTGTGTAGTTAAACCCTACGCGAAGAAGGAAAGGTTTGGGGAGGAACCGGTGAAGCCACAAAGTACCTTTTGACTTCTCCTGAAGTGCTGTCATGCTGCACGACCCTCTGGTCTTCTTTACCCTAGAGATTGTGGTCACAAAAGAGCATATATCAGCCCTCAGTCTTTGGACTTTGAAAATCACAAGAGCCGAACAGCATAGGCTCAGGGACGACGTTCCTTTGGCTCCTTCTGTTTGGTTTGTTCCTGAGCTGGGGCTATACACCCTGCCATCTTGCATCTGGCAAGCATGTGCTCCACCGCAGCTCACCTTGTTAAATGACATCACAAAGCGGTAAAAGTGAAAGTACAGGAGAGAAACCGCGCCTTCCTCCTTAGCCCCATCAGTAGTGGAAACGGGCCAACCCGATGGTGACGGTAACCTTTCGCCAGTGGCTAAGCACTCTGTGTGGCTCTGCGCAGGCTTTTGTAGTGAGTCTAAGCAGTCCGGACTGAACCAGTGCTGAGAGGTGGGCTAACATGTCTGGATGTGTTAGATGCAGGTGCCCGGACGCCGTATTTTTGTGCTATCATTCACCACGATCTGAAGTTTTGCTACAATTAGCTCTTGTCCCTAAAGGCGTAGACCCGCATAACAAATTACTAAGGGAAATGGGTAAGGTGATCCATCGAAAGGATTCCACATTTCACATAATTACAATAAATTAAGTCTTTATCTCTACAATGCTGTTGTCAGTTACATTCCTAATGTGGTGTGAGAGTCACTGAAAATTTCTGATCCTCACTAAGAAAACTTGAGAAAATATCAGCCATTTACCAGGGTTTTAGAATCGAATATGCACATATGGAGGGGATAAAAATAAGGTAAAGAGTTGTGCACAAAACAAACAAACAAGAGCAGTTCCCTGCTTTGCCGAAATTGGTCTTTCACAGAACGACGTGCAACATGCAGAGGGGAATAAAATACCCGGAGGCAGCTTGGTATGTTCTCACTGGACTAGCTGACATAAAGGCGCTTCCGTCAAAGGCAGGGAAAGGACTAACATTTACGTCTGTGTATCAGTTCAGACACATCACGTTGCTCAGTCCCCGCCACTCCGCTTTAACCATGAAGAGTGCCAGCCAGAGTGTGAACAAAGGCAGCCACATGACCCTGCCACGGGAAGCAAATTCACAGCCGTCCATGTAAGGTCTCAACATGAGTAAAAGAGTTTTTAAGAAGTGCACCCACATATGTACGTATCATTACTAGTCATACATATTATATATATATATATATATATATATATATATATATATATATATATATCTTCCTTCTTCTTTGACACACTTGCCCTACTAGCAACTCACTATTTTGTCTTTTACGCTTTCCGTTTCTGCCTTTTTGTTCTGAAATTATTGTCTTATGTAGTTCATGTAACTGCATTACTGAGGATGACCTTGAACTTCTGGTTTCCCCGCCTCGACTTCTTCCTGAGTGCTGGGATGACAAGGATGCCCTATCACACCCAGTTTATACAGTGCTGGTCGTCTCAGTCAGGACTTCCTGCTTGATGGGCAAGCACTCTGCCTACCGTGCTATGTCCCCAGCTCCACTTGTTACATCTTGATGCTTGGAAATCTGTCTTCAGAAAAATATTAAAAGTGAAAAAAAATATATATATATATATATATATATATATATATATATATATATGTAGGATGTTTTCCAAAACCAAATATGTCACAGGAACTTAAAAGTCTAAAATAGGAAATGGTTAGGGAAGCCGCAGAGCAAAGTGTAGACAACAGTGTGGCTAGCAAGACTGTAAAATGAAGATTGTGTGACATTGTGTGACATAGTAAGTGTCAAATTCAGGGGTCTGGGGGAGAGTTATTGAGTTTGGATTTGTGGTGGTGGTGGTGGTGGATCTCTTTTACTTTATTTTGTTGAGACAGGATCTTATACTATGCAACCCTTGCTGGCCTGGAACTCACTTTGTAGACCAGGCTGGACTTGAACTCATAGGTATCTGCCTCCCTCTGCCTCCCAAGGGCTGGGGTTAAAGACGTGTAACACAATGCCTGGCCAACATTAAGTTTTAAACAGCTGGAGAGATAGTTCAACAGTGAAGGGCAAATAGTGTTCTCCCCCATCCCCAAGCCACCCTCACACGCCTGCATGTGCTGGTATCAACACCGAGGGCCTTCTTGGGCACCTGAACTCACATGCACATAAGATTGGCCGACTTTTCATTAACATGTTCTATTCATCTACTTACGTTACCACAGCCAATTGAGAGTACCTAACAGCAATCCTATTTAGTAAACTCAAGAAATGAAGCTGAGGCTGAAAGGTGGCTCTGCAGTCAAGAGCACTTGCTGGTCTTGCAAGAGGACCTGGGTTTGGTTCCCCGGCATCTCCATGGGAGCTCGTAACTGTAACTCCAATGCCAGGGAATCTGACTCCATCTCCTGGCTTCTGCAGGCACCAGTTGTGCGTGTGGTATACATACATATATGGAGGGAAAACGTTCATGCACATAAAATAAGTTTGTTTGTTTGCTTGTTTGTTTTTGAGATAGGATTTCACTGTGCAGCTTTGGCTGTCCTGGAACTCAGGATGTAGGCCAGGCAGCCCTTAAACTCAAAGATCTGCCTGCCTCCACCTCCCAAGTCACGGGATTAAAGTTGTGTGCCAAAACACCCAATTAAAATATTTTTTAAGGTGAAAAAAAAAAAGTGTGATCCACTATAAGCATGTGTGACCACATGCTTATAGTCCCAGAACTTGACAGAAGATAGATCAGGAGTCCAGATAATGTTCTGCTACATTTTGGGTTCGAGGCCAGCCTGGGCTACATGAGACCCTGTCTAAAACAAAATAATAAAGATAGGGTTGGGAATGTGGCTCAGTGGTGGATTGATAGAATGGCATTCACAGAGCCCTGGCCTCAGTCTTCAGCAGAGCAAATATACAAACAGCCCTAGGCACAGTGTCTAATGTCCTTAATCCCAGCTCTGGGAAGGCAGAGGCAGGAGGAGCTCTGTGAGTGCAAAGCCAACCTGGTCTACAGAGTGTGTTCCAAGCCAGTTGGGACTACAAAGTGAGACACCCCCCCCCATCCCAAAGACGACTAAAGAAATAAGTCTGAAAGTGTAGCTCCCAGTCTTGTACGCACTCTATGGTGAATGACTTTAGAGTGCACCGTAGCAGCAAGATCATACGGAAATCTAAGTCTGCCAAGCATGGTGGCTCATGCCTATAATCCAGCACCAAACAAACAAACAAACAAACAAACAAAAACTCACCCAGTTACATACCCGCATACTTATATACCTCCCTAAAAGTTACATCTCACATCTATCTTTCTTTCTTTCTTTCTTTCTTTCTTTCTTTCTTTCTTTCTTTCTTTCTTTCTTTCAAAGATGGATAAATGAACAAATTCTAGAATGTGGTGCCTAATCTTGGTTCTCAAAGAGACACACCTGGGAAGAAGGAACCCTGGCTGAAGGATTTCCTCATCAGGCTAGACCTGTCCATTAATTGCTAATTGATACGGAAGAGCAGCCCACTGTGGGCGGTACCAACCCTAGACAGGCATCCCTGGGCTGTATCAGAAAGGCTACACAGGAGGCTGAAGACATACCTAGGAGGTTAAGAGTACTGGCTGCTCTTCCAGAGAACCTGGGGGAAATTCCCAGCACCCACATGGAGGCTTAAAACCATCTGTAACTCCCATTCCAGGAGGTCCAGTTCCCTCTTCTGGCTTGAAGATACCAGGCATGCATGTGGCACACAGACATACATGCGGGCAAAACACCCAGATACATAAAATAAAATAATAAGCTTTTAAAAGAAAAGTAGCTGATTGCGAGCCGGAGAGGTAGTTGGTACTCAGCGGTCCTCCATGGTTGTGGCTTCAAGCTCCTGCCTTGAGATTCTGCTCTGACTTCCCTCCGTGATAGATCATGGCCTAGAAGCGTAAAAGGGAAAAACTCAACCCACCCCCACCACCACCACCCACACACACCCAAGTTGCTTTTGTTCGTGGTGTTTATCACACAAACAGAAACACAAACTAGGGCGTAAATGTTCAACAGTTAATAAAGCAGAAGCCTAGAGGAAGATGAGGCCCATAGACACTCCTTTTGTTTCACCTTTGGTTTTGGGTTTTCTTCTAATATTTATTTGTAATTGTGTGTGTGAGTATGTGTGTGTGTGTGTGTGTGTGTGTGTGTGTGTGTGTGTGTATCTGCATAGGCCAGGGGCATCTGATCCGCTAAATCTGGAGTCACAGGCAGCTATGTAAGCTGCCTGAGGTGGGTGCTGGGGGTCAAATTCTAGCTCCCTGGAACATCGTTGCATACTCCTAACCTCTGAGCCGCCTCTCAAGCCTGGGGGGTGGTTTTTGTTTCTTTGGTTGGTTGGTTTGCTGGTTTGCTTTGTTTTGTTTTATTGCTTGAGACAAGAGCTTGCCATGTAGCTCAGGCTAGCCTTTAAATTCATGCTGTAGCCCAGGATGGCCTCACCCTCATAGCAGGGCTGCCATGTCCCCCAAGAGCACTGGAGGCCCACACTAATCCAATTCTTTGTAGAAAGGTGGTTTCTTTGTTTAGAAAAGGCCTCTTCTTTGACTACTATGTCAGAGTTATATTAGAAAAGCAGGGTTCTCTCTTTTTTTTTTTTTTTTTAAGGAGACAAGAACTCCTTGTGTAACCTAGGCTAGCCTTAGAACTAGAAATTCTCCTACCTCCTGCTTCTGAGTGCTGAAATTGTAGATATGCACATATAACTAAGATTTTTTTTTTTCTCCCCAGCACTGGAGATAAAACTCGGGACCTAGACGGCCCTGTAAGCTTTGACCCACTAGGTCTTGAACAAGGAAAGGCTTTTAGCGGCAGTGTTAGTGGGTGACTGGGCTGAAACTCCTTCCTGACAGCACAAGGTTTTATTAGCCCCGAACCTCATCTTCGGTCTCCCAAAACCTGCAGGCTGCAGAGCAAAAAACCTTTGTAAATAATCACTCCCATGCTCTCATGCATTTGAAGTAGGTTCGGACAATCAATATTCTAAGGGGCCCTTTAATCCTTTAACCCAACACCGCTTGAAAAGAGAGAGAGGTGCCCATTTGTCAGCCTGAATGAAACGGCTGACTTCCATGCAAATATCTAAAACTAAAACTTCAATCATATACGGAAAAAATTCAATAAGCAAGGATCAGATTCATTAGTCCAGAAAGCCCTCTACCTTCAGCATCTTTTCTTACAAACATTTCAACAAAAGAGAGTTAAACACAAATCACCTACCTGATCGGAGGGATCCCAGTCTCAGAGCGCAGCAGCCGTTTATGAATCTCTAGCGGAGTTGAACTTAAGCTCTTTGGCAATTCTGGTAAATGTGGCATTTTGAAACATTCTTTGGGCTCTTCCATACCAAATGCTATGATGTGTCGTGATTCAAAAAAAAAAAAAAAAAAGTTGTAATCATCTTGGTTAAATGCATGTTTTTTTTTTTGTTTTTTTTTTTAATCACACACTTAAAACGCACAGTATGGCAAAGCAGATCAGCCACTAAGGAAAAAAAATGAAGCTACTGTCACTGTATCTCCCAGGAGAATGACTTTCAAACTCAGCCAGATTGACCACAGGGAAGAGATTTTGAAGGTGGATAAGAAGTGGAACAAGGGGCTGGAGAGATGGCTCAGAGGGATGGCTAGGAGGTTAAGAACACTGGCTGTTCTTCCAAAGGTCCCAGAGTTCAATTCCCAGCAACCACATGGTGGCCCATAACCATCTATAGTGAGATCTGGTGCCCTCTTCTGGCCTGCTGACACACATGCAGGCAGAATGGTGTAGAAATAATACATCTTCTTTGGAAAAAAAAAAAAAAAAGAATTGGAATGAGTGGGGCATGTTGGTTCTCATGCCTGTAATGCCAGTGCTTAGGAAACTGAGGCAGGAGAACCATAAATTCAACCCCAGCCTGGGCTATAATTGACAATTTCATGACACTGGGTCTGAAAATAAAAAGCACAAAGGGATCTGAAAGCAGCTCAAAAACAGAGGGTTCATTCATCCAGTGTATTGGAGGCCCTAAGTGCCATTCCTAAGAACTACCTTCCCCCACCCCCACCCCTACCCAGCACCAGAACAAACACAAGAACAACAGCAGCAAAGGGAAAGGGTAAGCTTTGCCATTCCGCTGGCTTCTTGGCTTTATTTAATTCCACTTCCCACAACATTAGCACCATGTTGGATAAACCGCTACCTGCTACTTGAACCCATCCTGCATTTGTGTAAATGATCACAAAGTACAAATTAGGATCCCCCGAAGCCCTACCCTTGCTTGGCATTGATTTGAATTTTCTCTTTACAAAGTTCATAGCAACAGACTGTAAACACCAACATGAAGTATCCAGATTGTGTGTATTGATTTCACATTTTGCCAACCCTTTTGGTTTGGGTTTAGGGTTCGCTTTGGTCTATTGTGGTCTGTCGCTTGGGGTTTTGAGACTAGGCCTCTCTCTATGTAGATCAAGCTGGATTTGGACTTGCCACAATTTTTCTGCCTCCCAAGAGCTGAAGCACAAGTGTGCTCCACTATACTTGGCTGCAAGTTGTTTTGCTATCTTTTAGCGTGTGTATGTCTGTGTGTGTATGTGCCTGTGTTTGTCTGGGTGTGTGTTTGTGTATATACGCATGGGGAAGCTCAAGATTGGCTGTAGGTGCCTTCATCAATCCCTTTCACCTCACATATTAAAGGAGAATCCAGAGGTGTCATGTTAAGATAGTTTGGCTAGCCAGCTTATTCTGGGAAGTACCTTTCTCTTCCCCTGTGTGATGGGTGGAGAAGAGCTGCTGTGAAATTGCCTGCTGGTTAAGTGTTTTACTGGCTGAGTCCTTTCCTCAACTCCAAGTTAAAAAGTCTAGAGGCTAGGGAGATGGCCCAGAGGTGTAGCACTTGCTGCTCTTCCAGAGGAACAGGGTTCGATTCCCAGTACCCACATGGTAGCTCATAACTGCTGTAACTGCAGTTCCGGGGGATTATTACATACCTTTTTCTGGCCTCCATAGGTACCAGGGACCATATGGTATACATACATGCAAGCAAAACACTCATATACATAAAATAAAGATGACAAACATCTTAAAAAGCAATCTTTAAAGGGCATTAAATAGAAGGTAGATAGAGACTACAAGCTTAAAAAGTCATAGTACACAAGCCTGTACTCTAGGCAGATGAAGGAATTAAAGGGCCAGCATAGACTACATGGTGAGTTCAAGGTTAGCCTGAGTATGTAAAGTCCTTTTAGAAGAAAAAAAAAAAATAGGGGAAAAAATAATTGTTTAAACTTTGTAGCTGAACACTACAATGCATGCTCATTACACCAGCACTAGAGAGGCAGAAGTGAGAGGATTCCACAGGTTCAAGGTGAGCCCAGGCTACATGGCAAGTTCCAGTCCGGCCAGAACCACAGAGTGAGCCTGTCTCAAAAAGCAAAACAAAACAAAACAAAAAACAAAAACCCAACAGCTTAAAAATATAAGTAAGAAATAAAACAGTTTTGAAATATAGTAAATAAAACGTGTTTTTATCGCTCACAGAATATTAACCTTAACTCGTTCCCATTTCCCCTTTCTATAAACTTAGAAACATTCCCCTTTCTATATACTAAGACCAATGGGAATGTTATAGGAGTTATATAATGTCTCTTGACTGCTTAAGGGAAAAAAAAATTATGTAAATTCCAGGCATCCCTTCTATGTTTCTCCAAGAGAATAAGAACTGAAATGAAGTTACCTTTCCTCATCTTCTGTGTTTCTGAAAGCGCTTTCCTCCAGCTGCTCTCAAACAGAAAGCAGTTGTCCAAGGAGCTTCCAGTGACTTTGGAAGTCTCAAATTTGATCTCGGGAGATAGCATTGACATTTTCTCTCTTTTCAATAGCCTGGATTAGAAATATGCATTTTTAAGGTTTTATTTTGTTTACTGAAAGTCTCCCTAGATAGCCCCTGACTATGTAAACTAGGCTGGCCTTGAACTCAGGGATATGGCTGCCTCTGCCTTGAAGTGCTAGGATTAAAGGCATGTGCCACCATGCCCAGCATATTCTTGAGATTCTAAAGCTAGACAGTTTTTTAAATTAAGCTTGTTGTGTATTAAGAATTTTAATTAACCTCTTCATTTGGTTGGTGTTATCTAAGTAACCTAAGCTAAGCAGAACTCTCCAAAGATGGCCTTGGATGTCTGATCCTCCTGTCTTCACCTTCCCGGAGCTGGGAGAACAGAAAGGCACCACAACTCCAAGCACTTTGATATCCTTGGACCCAACTTTGATATTGCTGAAGTGTGTTTTCTGTCATAAAATTTATACCTAAAATTTTGAAGACTGAATAAGTCACAATCACGAAAATAACCTTAAAATGAAATACAAAGTAACTGATGATTTCCAAAATCTTAAAAAAGGCTTTTAGTTATATAGGCATAGTGGTACACACCTTTAGTCCCAGCACTCAGGAGAGACAAGCTCATCATCTCTATGAGTTCAAGGCCAGCCTGATCTATATAGTGAGCTCCTGGACAGTTGGAGCAACATAGTGAAACCCTAGCTTGAAAAAAAAAAGAAAGAAAGAAAGAAAGAAAGAAAGAAAGAAAGAAAGAAAGAAAGAAAGAAGACTCTTAGAATCCAGACTCCATTCTAAGAACTTCCTTTTCATCTATAGAAGTAGAGAGTACTAGGTAACTTTCAACTTCAAGACAGTCTCTGGCTCCCCCTTCTAACAGGCCCAGGTCAGGATCGGCCAGTTATCTCTGTTTGGTTAACTAAAAAGCTGATCAGCCAGTGACTGGGCAGAGGAGACAGGAGGCAGGACTTCGGTTCCCAGTCAGCAGGTTCCAAGAGAGCTGCCGAGGCTACGGAGAAGGAGAGTCCACATGATGAGAGATGAGATAAACAAGCAGTTCTTGTGCGTATGCTGTGGTAGAGCACTGGGGTGGGTTCAGACGTGTAAGAACTTGAAGGTCGTCCATGGCTGCTTAGCGAGTGTGAGGCCAGCCTGGGCACTGCCACACTGTCTTGAAAAGCTTTGTTGTTGCTGTTGTTTGGTTGGTTTTGGGTTTGTTTTATTTTTATTTTTATTTTTTGTAAGAAAGAAAAGAAAATTTAGAAATACAGATTAAAAAATAATAAATAGTACACATTTGCAAGTGAATACATCTTCAAGAATGGATAGCTGTGATAACTACCTTTATTAGTTAGTACACCTTTAATCCCAGCGCTTTGGAAGCAGACACAGGTCTCTGTGAACTCAAGGCCAGCCTGGTCTACATAGTGAGTTCCAAGACAGCTAGGTCTATGTAGAGAAATCCTGTCTCAAAAAAAAAAAGGAAAAAGAGCCAGGTGTATGCCTTTAATCCCAGCTCTTGGGAGGCAGAGGGAGGCTAATCTCTGAGTTGAAGGCCAGCCTGATCTACAAAGTCAGTTCCAGGACAGTCAAGGCTACACAGAGACACCCTATCTCAGAAAACTAAAGGGGGGCGGGAGGGAATGTTCCACACCTCTTTCTCTCTAGAGAGAAAGAGAAACTTGTGGGAATTGGTTCTCTCCTTCCACTCGTAGATTCCCTGGTATCAAATCTAGGTCATCAAGCATCTTTATCTGCTAATCCATGTCACTGGCGCCAAGCCAAACATTTTTTCAAATTTGGACCGTTTCACTCAAGTGTATTCCCAGTGTATCTGATATGAAAAAACTGAAGGGCCATTCACACCAGAACTGGTTTTGGGTGCGTGTACAGTAAGGCAAAACTGTTTTCTAGTACCTTTAGAGAGGATCTCCTACTTACCATCCTATGCATAGTTATGTATGCTTAAGACTAAAACCAAGTGCATTGTGGGAAAGGGCATGCCTGTAAGGTCACGGTCTGGTGCTTTGTATTTGATTATTAACTATTTTGCTCCAATGGCGGCGCTTGCTGTCTTTTAGGAGCAGACACTCACGTACCCAAAATGACGTTTGTAATCCTTGCCTCCAGGTTCTCCCCGGACTGGCTGAATGGGCGCCCGCCCACACATCTGGGCAGGGCAGAAGTGAGGTTAGGTGTGGCCAAGGATTAAGGGCTTGGAGAACCGAAGGATGGCAGGAAAGAGAGATGGGTATGAGAGAGAAGGAGGAAGAGTTGACCTCCTTGGGTTAGTGAAAAGAAGAACCACATGGCCGGGAGGAATTTACTCTGAGGATGAGCGTGGCTGGATAAAAGCAGCCCAGATGAAAAGACTGAGCAAGTATTTAGATTATTTTGGGTGGGAAGTAGCCCAGATAGGAATGTTTAGAGCAAATGGCATGGAATGTGGGATTGGGAGATAAGGAGGTGGTTAGGGGGTTAATATCTGCCCACTCCAGGAGAAATAAGGCTTGTTAAAGTTTTATCAGATGTCTGTGTCTTTTATTAATATAACAGGTTAATATTAACCACCTAAATAATTATGTGGTTTGATAATAAATATTGGCTATTAATAACAAACAGTAATAGCTGGGCGTGGTGGCACACGCCTTTAATCCCTGTACTCGGGGAGGCACTGTGAGTTCCAGGCCAGCCTGGTCTACAAAGCTAAGCCAAAGCTACACAGAAATACTCCATCTCAAAAAAACAAAAATGAAATGAAATAAACAGTAATAGCCCTAATATTTTCTACAACACATGCCCAATGGGGAAATTATTATATAATTTATCAATCAACGCTTTCTTTTGAGCCCCTTAAAAGGGGGCTCCGTACAATAGTCAGGGCCCTTAAGTATCCTCACTCATGTTGCCCAGGTCAGTCTTGACAGTGTTTATCTCTATTCCCTTCACTGTTGCTTTGCTCCAAATAAAGTCTTCTCAGTTTTGCAAATACACATGAGCCCTTACATTTAATTCTTGGATAGGAGACCAAGAACCTGGTTAAACCAGACCCAGGTTTAATGTGATGGTCTTTACCGTCCATTCCCTGCAAACGACAGCATTTCATTCTGTGTGTCTGTTTAACACTCTAACATGCCACGTTTTTTTTTCTTTTTGCATTCAGCCACTGGTAGGTTGCAGGCCGATTTAGTAACCTGGCTGGCTGAACAGTACAGTAATCAGTAATGTGTCTCTGTTAAATGCTGCCTTTGATTCCTTCAGCTATATACCAGGTGTGGGTAGATGTGTGCACAGCCATGTTGAGGACCATAATTCCTCAGACCCACAGGAATGGCAAGGCCTTCCCCTGATCCTCGTGTGGATGTTGACATGTGATCACAGCTACTTCCTCCCAGATGACTGACCCCGGGACTGCTTCCCTCCAGAGACCCCCTCCCATGGAGATTAGCAAAGCCACTCATCCAGGCGTGTGTACTAAACTCGCTGCTGGTCGGTCTCACACAGCCCACCCTATTCCAGCTTCTCTATATGTGTCTCTCTTTCTTCATTCACTGTTACCCCAATAAGGTCAATCCTGGCAGGTGGACCCTATGATAGTTCCATTTTAGGTTTACTGAAAAATTCCTGGTAAACCTCCTAAGTTTCCATCATCTATGTCATTATAATATCTTGTTCTCTCTATCGGTGTATGTCTTCTTTCTTTTGGTTGGTTGGGCTAACGTTTTATCAGTCTTGCTAACCTACTTATAGAGCCAGCTCTTTGTCTTACTGGCTCTTTGTTCTGTTCTCCTGCCGTCCATTGCACTGATTTTGACTCTGAGCTGTGTTCCTCCTTCTATCCTACTGGGTTTTGGTTTGTTCTTTTTTTTTTTTTTCTAAGACCTTGAGATACATTAGCAAGCCATCTGAGGGCTCTGATTTTTCCAATGTAGGCACTCATAGCTGTACTTTTCTCACAACTGCCTTTGCTGTATTTCTTGTGTTCCGATAGATTGTGTCCACATTCAAAGTTTGATTCCGGTAGCTTTTTAATTTACTCCCCTATATCTTCCATGGCCTACTCACTGTCCAAAAAGGTATTATTCATTGTTTATGTGCTTTTATGTACTTTCTGTAGTAAATGTTGCTGTTATTTTTAATTTCATTTCTCTCTGATCTAATAATGTGTCAGGAATTATTTCAAGTGTTTTAAATTTCTTAAGACTTGCTTTACAGCCTAAAAATAACAATTTCAGAAATCTATTTTTGAGAAAATTTCTATAAAATATGTGAGAAAAAAATGTGTGTGCTGCAGTTGTTAGATGAAGATTGATAGAGTCTGTTAATTCCATTAACCTATCATATAGTTCATCTCTGAAGTTCCTTTAATATTTTTGGGGGATGTGGAGTAGTGTTCCTGGGCCACCACCCTATTTGTGAAAATAGGGTGTTAAAGTCACCCACTATAATTATACTGGGGTCTCTATGTCCCTTTATGTCCAGTAATTTTTGTTTTATTTTTATTTTAATTTTGTTTTGTAATGTTTTATAAAATTGGGTACATCAACATTTGGTGCATTATATTATACTACACATTATATCCTCCTGATGATTTCCCTGTATTAATATGGAATGATCTTCTTTGTCTCTTCTAATTTTTGCCTTGCCTTGAAGTCTGCTTTATTAAATATGAGCACAGTTAATTTTGTTTCCTTCCTGATTCCATGTGCTTGGAGTATCATCTTCTCTTCTTCTTCTTCTTCTTCTTCTTCTTCTTCTTCTTCTTCTTCTTCCTCTTCCTCTTCCTGCTGAAGACAGGGCTTCTCTGTGTAGGCCTGGCTGTCCTGGAACTCTATAGATCAGGCTTGCCTCGAATTCAGAGACTGGCCTGCCTCTGCCTCCCAAGTGCTGGGATCAAAGGCATGCACCACCTCAGCCAGCAAGAATCATTTTCTATTCTTTCAGCCTGGGCATGTCTTTGCTGGTGAGGTGTGTTTCTTACAGATGACAAATAGTTGGGTATTGTTTTTCAGTCTAATTAATGAG